AATTGCTGAGCAAAGAACAAGCCAAAGACTCAATGGTAGGTCTAACAGCACATCCCCAATCCACCCTCAATGTACATGTGCCCTACACATGAGTAGCACATGAATAGAGCTTTCATATTGTAAATATTTCATTTGGAATTGGGGAAAAGGAAAATGACTGGAGCCTATTATGTTTCCAAAAACAGAGGAAGAGGAAGGGTCATGTGTACACACACACACACACACACTGTTAGCCTAGAACAGGGTGGAAAACCTGTGGCCTGTAGGCCAGAAATGGCCCTGCAGTCCCGTGGGAGGTGTCCTTCCATAATGTCTCTTGCTTGCCTAGGAAGAGAACTGGGGGAGGGGAGAATGTAGAAACTTCTGGCTTTTGTGTGACTGGAATGGAACCAACTGTAGATCCTGTCCCTCCCTGCCAGATGAAGAACTCAGACTCCCATCTGTCTTTCTGCCAGAGACTTCAATGCATAAAAGATCACTACATAGGCAAGGCACAGGTTACAAGATGCACCAGGTATATAAGTGGTTTAGACACTTGGTTTACATGAAAGCTAAGACACTGATCAAACAAGAGACGTGCACCTTCTCTCTAATTATTATTATTATTATTATTATTATTATTATTATTGCCTGCCCATCTGACCTGCAGCGTCCAAGAGAATATAACAACATAATGATAAATCAAACATTAAAAACTTCCTGATACGGATGTCCTCAGAAAGTTGTGCAGTTGTTTATCTATTTAGCATCATCTGATGGGAGGGCGTTCCACAGGGTGGGCGCCACTACCGAGAAGACCCTCTCCCTGGTTCCCTGTAACTTCACTTCTTGCAGTTAGGGAACAGCCAGAAGGCCCTTGAATAGACCTCAGTGTCCCAGCTGAACAATAGGCTTTTGGCTCCTTCAGGTATAAAGGGACAAGGCCGTTTAAGGCTTTAAAGGTCAGCACCAACTTTGAATTGTGCTTGGAAATGTACCGGGAGCCAGTGTAGCTCGTTTAGGATGGGTGTTATATGGTCCTGGCGGCCATTCCCAGTCACTAGTCTGGCTGCCACATCTGACTTTGGCTACCTTTGGCCCTGACTCCACCCACCACTCCCATGCAGTCCCCAGAAGGATATTCATGGGGGCTGTGGCTCTCAAGCTGTTGGAGGGAGGGCCATTGTTATTACACACATTCACATGTAAACATATAGTTTGCCCATATCTGCACCATCCATTGAAAGTACTCTTGTACCACTTTAGCAGTCATGGCTTCTCCCCAAGAATTCTGGGAAGTGTAACTTCTTAAGGGGGCTGAGAGTTGTTAGGAGACCCCCTCACAAAACTGAAGTGCCCAGGATTCTTGCGGAGAGAGCCATGGCTGTGGAAATGTACTTTAATTGCATGGTGTAGGTGTGATCTTTTTCAGAACTGAATACATTCAGTTCGGTACTTATTTGGTTTCAAAATAAATGGAACAAAGGTAAGGTAAGCCTTCACGAGGCTAGATGAAGTAAGCCTGCTTTAATAACAGGGTAATTACTCAGACTTAAGTGCACAATCACTTTGCATTTGGCTAAACTTTATGACAGGTGATGACAAGTTAATAAATGAGATGTTTCACCAGTACTTAAACAGCTGTTAACCAGCTACCTCCTGGCGATGGATAGCCCAAAGCAGGGAGGAGGAATTAACCTACTCTGAAGCCAATGCATGGAAACAAGTTATTTTGGTTTGTTGAGCTGGCCTCTGCAATAAATCATCATTAACAATGCTGTCATTTATCAAAGGGAATAGCTCTTGGTGCAAAAAGCCTTTGAAGTACCAGCACCTATAATTTCCTACCTATAAAAAGGTACCTTTGTGTCTGTGTCATGCCTGAAATTGACAAGAGAGCCAAAAGGGATTGAGGAGTTCATTACTGAAACACACCCATCCAAATAAGCATGCCGCTTATACTGGCAAGCTGGGATGATGGTGGAGGCTTTCATTCACACTCGAACAATGCGGTCAGAAGCAAAGTGGCACAGAACCACATCTGCCACTATCCAGGTGGTCTCTTTGACCTGCAAGCTATCAAAGCATAGGCCTTGAACTCCTTTCTGTACTAATGCCAGGACTCAGCCGATGGCCGGTACTGTCTGGCTTTGTAAATTGCTTAGATAGCACCCTCTGCTTAATTTCTGCATCCCATACAGATCTCTTGTCTGGGCAAGCCAACAACTTAATTGCCTTGGTAGACTTGGTTCTTTCCTTGCCTATTCATCATCATCATCATCATCATCATCATGTATGCATTGCTTCCCATGAGGCATATCAAAGTGATTTACAGTATCAATCACATTGTTTTAGATTTATGAGCATAGGAAGCTGTCTTATACAGTGGTACCTCGGGTTACAGACGCTTCAGGTTACAGACTCCGCTAACCCAGAAATACTACCTCAGGTTAAGAACTTTGCTTCAGGATGAGAACAGAAATCGTGCGGTGGCGGCGCAGCAGCAGGAGGCCCCATTAGCTAAAGTGGTCTTCAGGTTAAGAACAGTTTCAGGTTAAGAACAGACCTCCGGAACAAATTAAGTTCTTAACCCAAGGTACCACTGTACAGGGTCAGACTGCTGGTCCATCTAACTCAGTACTGCATATGCTGCCTGCAGCTCTCCAGGGGTTCAGACATGAAAACATCCCTTACCTGGAGAAGCCAGGGATTGCACCTGACACCTTCTGCATGCAAAGCAGATCCTCTTCCATTGAACTGGGGGCCTTTGATTTTCTGTTCCTAGCTCTGTTTCCTCTTCACTGCACCTCTCAGCTCACTTTCCTCTAGTCCCTTGGAGGATGGATCTCCTTGCTTTTTCTCTCTGTGGTTCCTTGCCACTTTGGCCAAACACTTCCACTGTCTGGAAGCCACAGTGGCTGGGGCAACCCAGTCGGATGGGTGGGGTGCAAATCATAAATCATTACTATTATTTTGCTCGCTTAGCTTTTATTGTGACCCTTATTATGGCCAGTGATGGTTGTAGATCCTTTATAACAATGCTAGATCAACCTGTTTCATCCCATCAAACCATCCATGCCCTGTTCCTATGTCCTGGAACTCACACATGTTCATCATGCAGTATTCATTTCTCATAAGAGCAGAAACCTCATGCTCCATAACCATAGTGCCAGAGCCACCTCACTAAAATGCCAGCATATGCCCATGATTTGTGGCTCAGGGAAGAAAACTTTAGTGGTGAATTTTAGATTGTAAGTTCCCCTGGGGCTGAAATCTGCCCTCTTGTACTCTGTAAATAGCCACATGCTCTGATATATAAATGAAAACCAATATTTTGCACTAGCTGAAGATTCTAGATATCTTTCAGAGGCAGCCCCAGTACATACAATGAATTACCGTTACTGAACACTTATGGGCTAGGTTTCCTTTTATGGAGAATTGCAGCATTTGAGAGTTGGGATGTTGGAGAATTCTGACAAAAATGAAAATGGGAGTGGAAATTGCCAGTGTTCACTTATTTCTCACATATCTGGAATGGAAATCAGCCCTCTGAATACAATCAGCAGTTGCTGTCATTGTTGCTTTGGGATATGTAATTGGTTGCATTTCCCTCCCATTTGCATTGCCTTTGCATTGAAATGAATGGGGTAGAATGATGTAATGACAATGTAACTTAATGTAAATAATGTGATTTCATTACAATGGACAGTGGGAAAAACAATGCAGTGTTTGCGGAAGACGAATTGCAGCAAAATGGAAACAATGCTCGATATGACAAATACAGGGCAGAATGGAAATTGCATTGCTTCCAACTCTACAATTCCATGATTCTATGAAAATGATGCCTTCTTACTTTCCTATTTGAGAGTCACACAATTTCTGTGTCCAGGTAGCATTTTATCCATTTCTCTCTGGTTCTTTTTCAGGCAATTCCTTACTAGATACAGGGTCCTACCCTGGCTTTGCAACCTAGAAGAGAACTGTCCATGGATGCTGATTTTCCCCATTCTCACAAGTGTACCCCAAACTGCTCATCCATGTGGCAGATTTTGCCTGGCCTCACCTCCAGCCATCAATCAACCTGAAAGTCATATCAAACTAATCCTCTCTGGGGAATCAACAATGAGGATCTTATATCATCCTGCCAGCCAGCTGCAAAAAGAAAGCAACACACCCAAATTATGAAGCAAGAGGAGATGTTCCTTGAACACAGGAACAATGAGCCTCCAGCTTATCACCTAGTTGAAAATCCGTGGGTGTGGGTAATGGGGAAGAGAACAGAAAGCATCACATATGTATGGGAAGATATGTGTTGGTGTCATGCTTCCAGCCCAGGTAGATGCAAATATTTCAGATAAACAATTACTGAATTGTATTACGCACACACCCCAAAAATGATTTAGTTGAGATTCCTGCATTGCAGGCAGTTGGACTAGATGAGCCTCAGGGTCCCTTCTGACTCTGCAGTTCCATTATTCTACTAACTGAGGGGCTAGTCCTGTAATGGCCAGAACACTGGACCTGGAGCATGGAAATTTGTGCTCCATTTCCTGTTTATGCACAACATTTTTGGCAGGGGTATACCTATGCATATAGCATATAGCATAAGCATGTTCTCACTCCAGGGAACTCAGGACTGAGGGGCCAAATGTGACCATCTAAGCCTCTATGTGGCCCCCAGGACTGTTCAACCTAAATTTTGCACATATACAGCTAAATTAGCATATGCACTTATACGTCTTATGGGCCTGTGCCCTCAGTCATTTTGTGTGCCTAGGAAAACACTTATCCCTGCCAGTCGCAAAAAGCTAACAGACATTTGTGTGGGGGCTTCTTACAAGACTGCTCTGTTCCATAGGCAGGTAATAAGCTAAACTGCAAAGAACCTTGATCACAGGATTTTAGGAATATCCTTCTCTCCCTTATCCTGAGTGACTATTGGTCCATCTGGCTCCGTATTGACCACACTGTCTGGCAGAGAATCTCCAGCATTTCAGGCAGAAATCTCTCTCACTGCTACCTGGAGATGCCAGGAATTGACCCAGGGACTTTATGAATGCAAAGCAGGTACTCTACCACTGAGCTACAGTCTTTCCTATTTCTGATAAGAACTTAGACTATAGGAACATCTTGAACACTCCCTCTCACTGTGTCTTCTGTCAATTTTACTGATGCCAGGCAGGGGGGGAGTTCATTCAAACAGGTTGCAGTTGTGAGGAAGAGGAGCACTTTCGGTGGTCTCTTGTCAGTGGGTCTCCTGCTGGGTTGAGGACCCTCAACGTGGGCCCACCCATGCCAACCCTTGATGTTGTCCCGGCAAACATCCGTGTAGAGAGCATTCAAAAGTCAGGATGCCACCATGGAAGGGTGCTCTCCTTGATTATTACCAGTCATACCGCAAACAGTGAGGAAACCCAGAGAAGGTTCATAGATGATGATCCCAGATACAGGCAGGTGCACATGATGGCAGGCAATTTACCTACTGCAATTGTTAGTTTGGTTGTTTACCTGTTACAGTTCCATAATCTAGTTTCTGCCAATGCTCTCAAACCAGTTCACCATTTATAATAATGGCTTATAACAGGGCTGGGAAACCTGTGGCTCTTTGAATGTTGCTGGATTTGGACCACAGCTCCTATCAACCCTGACTCTTGGCCATGATGACCAGGGCTGATGGCAGCTTGAGTCTAAAAACATTTTGAAGGCTATGAATTTCACATCAGTGCCAAATTAACAGAAGCAGTGCATTATGAGAAAGAGAGTGGGAGAAAAAAATAAGGAAAATAGAAGTACAACGGCTATTGCATGAGATGGTTCTGGAACTGGAGAGAGCCAAAGGCCACACGTAGCCACCACGTTGATGGAGGGGGTCCGCACTGTCGGACCCCTCTCTCTGAGGCAGACAGGGGGAGCATTTTGTGAACACAGCAGGAGCGGGATTCCTACACCCACCTGCCTCTGCCACCAGCAGGAAATTTTCAGTTTTGTTGTATGCCAGTGATATGATCTTCTGCTCTTATGCACAAATTGGCTTGAGGCATCTCTTATCAGCTTTGAGAAACTTTTCTAAGTCTGAACAGCTGGGTATTAATTATGATAAAACAAAGGCTGTTGTTTCTGATTATTTAAAAAATAAGAACTTCCCCATGCCTGGGACGCTGATGGTCATGATATTGTTGAACAAGTCCAATTCTCTTGTTTCCTGGAGGTCGTTATTCTCAGCAATGGAATTAGGAAAAATGAGAGCTTAGGAAGGGCCATAGCTCAGTGGTGGAGCACCTGCCTTGCAAGCAGATGGTCCCAGCTTCAATATCTGGCATCTCCATGTATGGTTGGGAGATACTCCTGCCTTGTATCCTGGAGAGCTGCTGTCAGTCAGTGTGGACAAGTTACACTGAGTTAGATGGAGCAACTGTCTGACTTATTCCAAGCACCGGGTGAAGGCATATTCATTACCAGTTTATGAGTTAACACACTGCCCAAAACATCCCTGAACTCTACACCAGCCCTGAGTCCTGTTTTACAGAGGACAGTTCTGTATTGGAAGGAGTCCTCTGTTTGAAGGGCTGTCTTGCCCCAGTCCAGTTTAAAAATAAAGGACAATAAGAAGGAAGAGCAGGGCTCTTGAAGTTCCCCATCAATAGTTTTTTTTAAAGTTTCTTGCATTTATATCCCACCTTTCTTCCATCATGGGACACAAAGTGGTGTATCTGTGATTCACAGGTGGTCATCTATCCAGATACTGACCAGATCCAGGCCAGCTGTGCTTCAGCAACGTGTTGGCCTTGTGTACCTTCAAACCATAATCTTGAGAGCAGCTGGCACCTGAACAACAAACTGAACATGCACAGTCTTCTCCAATATGGTGAGATGTGTTACATTTCTATATTATTAATTATAATAACTATTTCTAAGTGTGTTTCTTTATTTGTAAGTTAGTATGCACAAATGTTATGCAAACCCCTATGACTTTTTTCTTTTCTTCTTGGGGGCGGGGGAGCTGATACATTTCCTCTTTTTCAGCAATGTGTGAATGGGCACCCCAATGAGTTACAGCGAATACAGGGCGTGAGCTCTTCTCTCTGTCCTTAATATTGTTACCTGCCACCCCCAATATTAGCCACGGTTTGTGTTTCCATTGGAAATCAGGCACAGTGGAAACTGTAGCATCTTTAAGATACAGTCATACTTTGGTTCTCAAACAGTCATAATTTGGTTCTCAAACAGAATGGTTTGAAAACCAAGGTGCAGCTTCCAATTAGGTGCAGGAGCTTCCTGCACTCAATCAGAAGCTGCAGAAGCCATGCCAGATATTTGGCTTCTGAAAATCGTTCAAAAGCCAGGACATTCACTTTCGGTTTTCGATCTTTTAGGAGCCGAAACGTACAAGTTCGAAGATGTCCAGCAACCAAGGTACGACTGTATATGGTTTTATTTACACATATGTACAGTTGAATCTACTGTGAGAAAGTTCAGACCATTCACATCTCAAGAGGGGCTTGCTTCCTGCAGAAGTGCAACGTTAGATTCAAAAGCAGCCAAGCAGCCATCTCTGTGCCTCTGTGCCATCAGCCTGCTCCAGTCACCTGCATGGCTTCTGCCTATCCTCCTCCTTTTTCTTCCCAGAAACCCTTGCCAAATGTGACTTCCTCTTCTGCTTACTTCATTGCCCCTTGGCAACCTCCCCTTGTGTGCCTGGCAGTCTCCAGACTTGTGATGGCTTCTTTTAATGGGTTGATGACTGGCCATTTCAGCCTTTGTTAATGGCTTGTGCTGAGCCAACTACGTCAAGCTGGGCTAGCTTGTTATCCTAAACATAATCAAGCAGTGTTTGGTGGAGTTTTAATAAAACCATGATCGATCCTCACTTTTACTAAATCCAACATTTATGGGGAGTCTGTCCCCCCCAAAAAATACACACCTCAAAACAACATATTGGGAGCTAAAATCAAATTTGAGATGGCAGTGTGGATCCACTGTTGTGCTCTAGATCTGGAATCAGTTCCTGGCTATGTCTTGAGAACTATATTAGGTTTCCCAAAGAGACCCCCATCTGTTCTCTTGCATTTTAAAATAGGTGTGTTGCTATGAGGATGTATCTCTGCATTTTTAAACAAGTGGATGAAAACTTAAAACTATGGAAGCCAAGAGACTTCCCAGACTTTGACTCAGAGCAATCTCAAAGCATCGCTCTGAAAGGTGTCGTGCACCTGCATCCGAGAAAGAGGCGAAACATCAAAGCCTCCTTGGGAAGATTCAGGACAGGAAAGAAAAAGTACTTCTTCACACAGTACAAACGATGAAAATTGCTCCCGCAAGTGGCAGTAATGGCCACCAACTTGGATGCTTTTGAAAGAAGATCAAATAGATCAAATGGCTAGTGGTCATGTTGGCTGTGTTCTGCCTGCATTGTTGGAAGCAGTATGTTTCTGAATACCAGTTGCTGGAAATTTCAGGAGTGGAGTGTACTGACACACTCAGGTCCTGCTTATGAGTTTCTCATGGCTATCTGGTTGGCCAGTGTCTCGTGGGTATCTCCTGGAAGGCTCATTGCCCTTAGTCATTATGTCGTCTCATTATGTAATGATATGAAAGAGGTACCTGAATATGCCTATCTTCCTCTTTCCTCAATGCTTTCCCCTAAGAGTAAGGAATCAGATCTGGCTAGGTGGCCAGATACATATCTGCCCTATAGCACACAGGGCTGTCAACCACCTGACTTCACAATTACATCAAGTGAGGATCATCAAGACAATGCAGGGCTTGCGAAGAGTCCAGGGTGGAGCTTTGAAGTGCCTCTGGTCAGTATGCTTGAAGTCACCACCTGTTAGGTGATCAGTCAATGCCTGCTTTCTATGGGATTGGCTGAGTGAGAGCGAATCTGGCTTGAAATCCTGGAGAACCTCTGCCAGTCAATATAGAGTACTGATATATAGATGGACCAATGGTCTAACTCAGTATAAAGCAGTTTCCTATGTACATGGAGATGGACAATAGATAGATCAATAGATCCACACCTTAGTATGATCATAACTAAGAATGTTCTTTGTCTGATCTCAAAGCATGTCAGATAAGGACAGACTTTAATCATTTGTGGTTCCAGCAAATGTGCTTATTTTCTTTGGAGGCTCCAGCAAATATGCTTCTCCAACTTGATGCCCTTCAGATCTTTTGGACTACAACTCCCATCATTCATGGTCATTATGTGCTCTACCCCCCCCCCATGCTCTCCTTCTATTTATCACATTTCTCTTGAAATATAGGAAATCGCCTTATACCACATCATACTATTTGAGTTGACTGGAAGTGGTTCACCTGCTAGCTAAACCTCTTTTACTGAATATGGCAAGGACTGAATAAGCTCAGAGTATGAGGTTGAATAGAGAGGAGTGCCTGGCGTGCTCTGGTCCATGGGGTCACGAAGAGTCGGACACGACTAAACGACTAAACAACAACAACGTGAGGTTGAATAAGGGACGTGGGTGGCGCTGTGGTCTAAACCACAGAGCCTAGGGCTTGCCAATCAGAAGGTCGGCAGTTTGAATCCCCAAAACGGGGTGAGCTCCCATTGTTCGGTCCCAGCTCCTGCCCACCTAGAGGTTCAAAAACACATCAAGTGCAAGTAGATAAATAGGTACCACTCCAGCGGGAAGGTAAAAGGCGTTTCCGTGTGCTAAGCCAGAAGCGGCTTAGTCATGCTGGCCACATGACCCAGAAGCTGCCTGCGGACAAATGCCATCTCCCTCGGCCTATAGAGCCAGATGAGCATGCAACCCCAGAGTCGTCTGCGACTGGACCTAATGGTCAGGGGTACCTTTACCTTCACCTTTTGAGGTTGAATAGGGATTTTCCACACACAAGCCTAGTGCTGTTGCTGCCACTGTACCACAGTGGCTGGACTAGCTGTACCAATGGCAGCCACCTCACACAACATACCCTGAACTCCATAAGGTGACTGCTACCTGCCATCAGATGTGGAGAAAGATACTGCTTTGTTCCCAGTATTGAAATAATATCCAGCCGATTTACTGAAAATACCTCTTTGGGAAGGGTTGTAGCTTAGCAGCTTTGCATGCATGTAGAAGGTCCATGTTCTATCTCCAGCATGTCCAGGTAGAGCAGGAAATGCCTCCTGCCTGAAACCCTAGTGAGCTGCTGCCAGTCAGGATAGACAGTACTGAGCTACATAGAGATGTGGTCTGACTCTGTATAAAGCAGCTTCCTATAGGTCTATTAGGATAATGAACATAGCTGTGTAGTAGAACATCTCTACTGAATGCAGAAGATCCCAGCTTCAATACCTGGACAAGACCCCTGTCTGGAACTCTGAACCTGGAGAGTTGTTGCCACATCCTGAGCTAGATGGACCCAATATAAGATAGTTTCCTATGTTCCAGTTTACCAGTCCAATGGGCTGCATTGCATGGAAGGGGAGAGGCCACCATCTTAGTCTTCACCATCCAAATGCCTTGGGCTGGCCCTACAAAATGCTACATGAGGTCAGGAAGACGTTTGGTGCAAACAGTATTTTGGTGCAATGCAGCAGAGAAGGAATCAGGTGTGTTGAAGTCTCCTGAGACTGGAAAAGAAAACCAGCATGTCCGCACACAAAATTGCCTTCCTTTGGATTTTGAAATATTGGCAGCCACCATGGCTTCTCTGATGGTTATGTATGCCAGTTTTCCAAAGTCACATACTATGTCATTGTGAAGGAGGACTGAGGTTCTCACTATTAAATAAAAGCAAGGAATAAAGGCTGCATAGACACCATATGTTTAAACTATATCTAAAGCACATGACTTCCCCAAGCATCTTGGGGACTGTAGTTCACCCCTCACAGAGTTACTGTTCTCAGTGCCTTTAACAAACCACAGTTCCCAGGATTATTTGGGGAATGTTACATGGATCCAAGATCAAAGGATTACAGGATCAAAGATTACAGGAACTGGTTCACCCAGAGAGTTTCTTGATGCATAATGTGTGAAGTAGCCCTAAGCAATGTTTTAATTTGTTTTAAACTGTTTTTAATGCTTTTTTTAAATATTGCTTTAACCTGCCCTGGCACCTTATAATGAAAGGCAGGTACTAAATCTAAATAAGAATAAGAATAATAGAAGTGAAAATGGAAGCAATGTGCCCCAGGTTTTCTGCAGCATAGAATTCATTTCAAGCCACAGTCCTGTATTACTCAGGCCACCTCCCTACCTCCCTCTTTAAGTTGAGGTTACAGGAAGCTGAGAGAGGTGTTGTCAGAGGAAGTCAGACTGCCATGGCAGCAGGAATGTCATTTCTCCCCTCACAGGGCTCCAGTGCCTTTGAGAGCTGTATGAAAGACAGAAATTCAACAGGTACAGCTTCCCCGGCACAGAGTTGCTTCAACCCTGATGTAGTCCCGTCCCGTGAAGGCCACTCACATCTGTGTGCGTTTGCAGCAGTGTTCAGGATGGGGTCCCCCCATGGCTGAAAATTGCCTCTCAAATTTTTGTTGTTGTCATCATTACCATTTGTTGTCGCTGCTGTTATCAGAGGCGGTTTTAGGGTGGCACGACCGCTGCAGTCACATAAGGTGCTGCACTGCAGGGGGCGCACAACAATGCTGTAGAACAGGGCACGAGAGGCAGGGGGCGCCGAATTTTAGCATCGCACAACCCAAAGCCCACCACTATCCGTGACTTGCTATAACAATATTTTCCTGAGCAATGAACAAATAAAACAGCAACTTAGCAAAATCACAGAATGCTGTCAAATCAACACTAACAGCCAATGTTTTCAAATATATTGAAAGCCACCTTAAGATTTCTGATTAGCAGGTGGGGGAATAAATATTTAAAATGAATGCATAAATAGTAAATGTACTCTTTTTTCATGCCTAGACTTCATCGCTGCTCTGGTATTGCTCCAGTCTCAGTCCTGCCCAGACTTTGCCAAATCTCCCCATGCTGCAGGGACTATTTCCTAAGAGGGTCAAACAAGTGCTGTAATAATGCTGATGTTTGATCTCAGTCACAACCATGTAAACATGCCAGAATTGTTGCATCAACCCTGGCGCGGCACAGATGGTAATCCATCTGTAGCATTCTTTGATGCCGTCTCACACAGCAAGGAGCAGTCTGTCAGAGAAAGGTGCTACTCACTTGCAAAGGTTAAACCAGGCCAGATTCAATTCAACTGCTGACATCCCAAAACAGAGAGCTGTGTCTGTGCAAGAAATGTAGGGGTATATCCAAATAGCCCACTACGGAAGCACAGTCTTTCTGTTTTGGTTTGAGATGACAATCTTCTCCCCTGGATCAAGCTTGGGTGAACCTGTTTTTCTTGTATGCAACTTAAGTTAACCTTCACTGCACTGATTGGCTGTGACAGCTGAAGTCACTAACCCAACTTCCACCCTGAAGCAGTTGTTTAACATAAAAAAAAACCTGGGAAAGGGAACTGGGCTGGCATCAGGAGTTGGCATTGTCAAGCAGTTGCCAAGACCCTTGTTACAGCTGGAGACCATTGCTAATCCCAAGATTGTCATACGGCTCTTCCTTCTTGTGGGGTGGTCCTAGAAAAAAATGTAGGACAAATGGGGAACTGCTCCACCACCTTCAGACTGCTCTGAGCCAGCCTCTGCCTGCCTGCCTTCTTTCTTACAACCAGTCAGGGCTCTGCTGGAGTGAATGACAGGTAGAGCCAGCAGACCCCTGACTGGTTGTAAGTAAGAAGGCACGCAGGCAGAGGCTAGCTCAGGGCAGTCTCCCTGCCTTCTGCCCTTCCAGTCCCAGTGGGCACCACTGGAGGAGAGCAAATATGCAGTAACAGTAGTAGCAAGGAAAAGGAGATGGGAAGCCTTGGATAGGAGTCCACTGATAACATATTATCCAGCTCCTCTTCCCGCAGACCTGGGATCATCATTAGGGATGAATACACTATGGTGGCTGGAGTCCATTGGCCTGGTAGGATGTAAGGCTGGAGGCTAGGTGGAGCCAGAGCCAACAACAAGGAGAGCCAATTCACTCTAGTTTTGTTTGCATCCTCCTTCCTGATAAAGTGGTACCTTGGGTTAAGTACTTAATTCGTTCCGGAGGTCTGTTCTTAACCTGAAACTGTTCTTAACCTGAAGCACCACTTTAGCTAATGCTCCTGCTGCTGCCGTGCCGCCGGAGCACAATTTCTGTTCTCATCCTGAAGCAAAGTTCTTAACCCGAGGTACTATTTCTGGGTTAGTGGAGTCTGTAACCTGAAGCGTATGTAACCCGAGGTACCACTGTAATTTCTATAACTTCAACCCTGAGATTACTAAGGAGGAGGAAGCTGACAGCCAAGGCCGCCCTGGGAACTGGTTGGAAGGAAGATGGCAGGCTGGCAGAGGGCAGAATGAGATTGGTGGGACATTTCTCCATTCCCCTTAATGGCCCAGCCTCCATTATGGGTGGGCAGCCAAACCAGTTGACACCACAGGCTACTAAATATGTCATTTAATCTTCTGGCTTGTACATCTGCCCAATGAGTTGTTGAAAACAATAATAATCCAGACAGGGTAGGTGGGTGTGAAATGCAGTGAGTCCTAATTTGTTTTTCTGTCAGTACACACTTGTCAACTCTCTTCAGAGAGCCCATCCCTAAAGGAAACCTTTTTGGTGTTGCTTTCTTTCCTTGACTCTTCAATGAGCCAATCCGTGAGCAACGCTGTCATTTTCCCG